TCCTGCTTTTATATGTTTTGCCTTTGATCTGAAATTTCAGATTGGTAGACCTGTGGTATTCTCATTGGCTGCAGATGGTGAGGCTGGTGTAAGAAAAGTACTTCAAATGCTTCATGATGAGTTTGAATTAACTATGGCACTAAGTGGTTGCCGTTCACTCAAGGAGATAACTAGTGACCATGTTGTCACAGAATGGGATCGCCCAAGAATTGCCAAGTTATGAGATTGCAGGACTCCAGCTCGTTCACTTATATGGTTGGAAACTGAGAGGTTTCACATCAAGAACTTGATATTAGTAGGCATTTTAAAATAAACTTTGTTCTTGTTTCATGCTTCAATAGAAAATTTTGTTGCTTAAATGAGCTATGTGTGAGTTATCCGTTAGTATTGCTACTTTGTTCACTGTAAGGAAAAAAGTTTCTACTTTCTACCTGGACTCATTTCATTGCACTTGGTGCTGGGATTTGGTAAACCATTGAAACATGATTGCCAATAAAATATATTTTCTTCAAAGCATAAGCAGAAGTTTTATGATCATATATCTCCATTATTTACCTTTTACTCGAAAGCTCAGCAACCTTGAATCAATTGTCCTGTTTCAATCTTGATCATAGTTCTTGTGATCCATGTCCAGGCTATGTAACATACAAGGCCATATAAGCACTTGTCTTAGGCCTCATAATAAATTATATATTTATGATTTGTATAAAAAATTACATATTTATTGTTTAATAATTTTTATTGAGAGATATCTTTTATTCCAAGAATTAATTATATAATTGATTTAGTTCATTCTTCAAGAACATATCTATTAGGATATTAGAAAACATTAAAACTTGGAAATGTTAAACTTTTTACCCGTAATTATAATAATTTATTTAGAATATTGTTAATTTTGAAATGTTATACTATTTAGTAGATGTCAAGAAAAAAATGCTATAATTTGATTTTTTAAATGCATTTTACAAAAAAATTGACTTCATTTTTTTTAAATATCTTATTCTTTTCTCTTTTTCACTTTTTAATTTTATATTCATTTGAAAACTTGAAGTGATTGTTAAAGTGAATAACTGATTTAAATTTGTTATTGTAAATAATATCAATGTGTAATTCTTTATATTTTTATCATTTTATATTTTTTAGTACCATTTATTTATACTTTTTATTATTGTCTTTTATAATATTTTAAGCTTAAATATATTTTTATCTCTTGTAATTTTTTTCATCTTTCTAAAATTTATAATAATTATTTTTAGTCTTCATTATTATTTAATCTTTTTAACTATTTATTTATTCAGATTAAGTAATCATTTTATATGTTATACTAATGTGTGACATATCTAAAAAAATTTCATAAATTTTTAAATAAATATTATTTATATATTTTAGAACCAAAATTTATTTTACAGAGATTAAAAATATATGTAGATCATAATTTTATTACATATTATAGAATATATAAAATGTCAACTAAAAAAATAATCTAAACCCCCATAATGCAAACCATGAAACTTTACAAAGCCAAGAGCCAACCACGAACATGATGAAACCATAGACGTCCATCAAAAGAAAATACTAACAGCGTAGAAAAATATAAATAAATAAATAAAACTTAAATATATATTTAATTTGATCTTTTAAATTTAAAATTATTATTTTTAATCTTTGTAATTTTTAAAAATCTTGTTTTAATCTTTCAGGACACTAATAACATATTTGAAAGCGACTAATTAAGATAATTATGCAATATCAACTGGATTTAATGTGATATTTTACTAATAGGGACACTAATAAATAAATTTTATACAATAATGTTTGATAAATTTCTTAACAA